GCTGTTGGGAATCGTACCCACTATGTCCTTACCCATTTCGATCGCCCCGATGGGACCGCAAGTCATCCTTCAGGAACAATGAGACCTTCCGCCTGGCAGTGCACCCCAAACCACAAAAAATCACCGCGAGCACCCTCCCCCAGGATGCACGAAAACATCCGACGCAAACACGACAAAACATCAGGGCACCCTCCCCGAACCGACCTCGACCTGATCCCTCGGTCCGACCGTACCCTGAGACCCTGGCGTCGCATTTCTCCCACACCAGGGGCCTCCGCCGCGTCTCGGGTCCCTATGGGGCCTTCATGGATCGCTCCGGCTCGAGAGGTGGGGCCCGGGGCTCTGGTCGTAAACTCCCACGATCTTGCAGCCTTGTCACGACGCCGCGTCTCAGGGCGCTGGCCCACAAGGGAAACCATCGGCGTGATATCGGCGACGCGTCGCCGATCGATCGGCGATACGCCCCGGAAAGCGAAAGCGCACGCTCACGGACAGGGTCAAGCGCCCGAACCCCGCCGAACGGCGATGAATGGGCGGTTTGGGATCAACGTTTCTCCCAGTGGGCCAATACCCCCCCTTCGCCCTCCCAGGCATCGGCGGCAGGAGGGTAAAAAAGCAGCGCTAGTGCGTATACGTTGCCGGAAGGCCAGAACCACGGCAGGAACAAACTCCGTCCTGGCGGCGAGCCTGGGGGGAAGCGAGAAGGGGCGGGTCTTCTCAGAAGGCTCGCAAGGCCTCCGGCCTTCTCCGAAGCAGCAGGCCGGAGGGGCTTCTGAGAAGCCCCGCCGCCTGCCGAGGAGGCCCGCTCCTCCCCGCTCCCCCCGCACGGGGCGCGCCTCCGACCGACGGACCTCCGCGCGGACTGCCTGCGTCGGCGCGGGGCCTCTCCCCCCTGACCTTCCAAGAGGGCTAAAAATAGCACGCGACTTAGAAAACTATCCCAAAGCTATTCTGCGTCTTGGTTTTAGGCTGTTTCGCTCAGTTGTTTAGGTTTTTGGGCCTCCAGTGCTAACAAAAATAGCTCTCTGGAAGGTCAGGGCCCGCGCGCCCCGGGGCGGCGCCGATGGCGCCGGCCCGCGCCCCCCCCGCGCGCCGTGCGCCCGGGCAGGGGCGTGGCGAGGGGGGGCCGCCGACGACCCAGGCAAGCCCGCCGGGCCCCTCCGGCTCGGCGGCGGCCCCACGGGGGAAGCGCGACGTGCGACGGGGGGGAGGCCTTCTCCGGGAGGCCGGGAGGTCCCCTCCGGCCTCCCGGAGAGTGGGCCCTGCTCGAAGGACGGAGGGCTGCCCAGAAGGCCGGGGGCCTCTGGGGAGCCGCGCCGACTTCCGAGAGGGCCTTCTTCTTCTTCTTCTTTCCTCCCCCTCCCCCCTCGCTCGCCGCCGAGTCTCGCTTCGCGCCGTCTTTGCTGGCCTTCTGCCTAAATACGTTGCAGCCCACCAGAATGTGGTCGCTGCAGGAGAAACAAAATCCATCCAGAAAGGAACAGCAAACGTTCGGCGCAGATTCCTTGGATCGGCGCAGACTCCTCGGATCGGCTCCGGCGCCGTCCTTGCCGCGCGGTGCGCACCGAGGGCGGCGCCGGAGACGTCACCAGGGGGCTCGAGCTCCGATACAAGACATCCGCGCAGACCTCCGACAACTTATGTTTGTGTCATTCTTGGCCCCTCGAATTAAAAAACCAAACCACTCGTCCACCACATGGATCCGCCTGACCCTGCGGCGGGCCCGAACGCAAGCGAAGGACGCAGCCAAGAACAAAATCGGGGACGGCACGGCCGCGTGCGTCAACCGCCGCGGCGTTGGGCTGCTGCTGCGCAGGGGACATGGGCACTTGGGGAGAGCCCCTGGTGGCGCTGGCTCGAGGCCAGCCAAAAGGACAGCCCCGAGGTGTGGGGGGGCAGAAGCACGAGCCCAAAACAAAACTGGTGCGGGGGAGGGGCGCCCGTCAGAGGGGACCCTTTTGTCACCCAGGCGGATTACGAGGAGCGAGAGGGGGCGCAGCGGGAGTCGGGCGCGGACACTGGCGGCGCGCAGAAGGGGGTAGGGGGAGGGGGGAAGGCCTCTTAGACGCACCCTGCTTCTGAGGAGGCCTCGGCCTGACGCCTGTGGAGGAGGCCGGCGCCCTCTGAGAGGCAGGGGTGCTTCTAGGAAGCCTCCCCCCCTCCCCCTAAACCCCCCTCTGCGCGTGGCCGCGGACGGCCTGCCGCCGCGCAGCCGTCCCGCGGCAGGCGCGAGCCTGGCCATCGCTCGGACGTCCATGTCCTGTGTTATGTTCGGTTCCGTGCGTGGCATTTTTGCCAAATGACCCAGAATGCTCCTCGAAGGTCCTCGCCGGAGGAAACATGCACACGTCCGAGCGATGCCAAGGAGCTTGGCCGCAGCGAGAGCGCGGGTGCACCGCACACGGGCCCGGACAGCAGGCGGGCACCTCGCCGGCCGCCGGGGGCGGGCGGACAGCGTCGGAGGGTGGCCAGCACACTGCTGCCCTGCCGGGAAGCCACGGCCCGCTGCCGCGCGAGGGCCAGGGAGAGGAGACGAGAGGAGGGAGGAAGATAGGGCAGCCAAGATGCTGACGTGTGGCTGCCCTCCTGATCAGACGATGAGCCGCTGGGCGAGCGGAGAGCGGATTCTCACATGCAACCTCACACAGAGCATTCGGAGGTGGAGCTCATGGCTCACCTCCGTCCGCGCGTCGGCCACCAAGAACACTTATCCGCCGACGTCCACTCTGATGCTATCCGTGGAGAGGTATAAGGGGCGCTGCCCCGCCACCACCGTCTCCCCTCCCGCTCCGGTGGACCGCGCCTGCATGTCGCGCTCCTGCTCCAGGCGGATGTCCTCCCTCGTCTTGGCGGAGGTCTGGAACACCCTCCTGGTCCATCCGGCCGCGCGCGCGTCGAGGACGTCCTGCATGGTGAACTGCACGCGCCTGGAATACGCCTGCTTGGCCGTGGTAAGGCTTCGGGTTGCGCACAGACAGACCCCCCCCCCCTCACTCCCCGGCAGTCCTGAGGAGACCAACGATACCACTACTTCCCAGACCTCTCCCGGGGTGCGTCCTGACCAGAACTTCTAGGCGAAATCAGCTGTGGCGACGAGGGCCTCCCAGGAGGCCCAAGATGGGGAAGACGGGACAAGGGTAGTGTTAGGTCGGGCCTGTCCCCCTGGAGGCGGATTTGGGCGAACAATGAAACAGTTAAGAAATACCCAAAAATGCTTACGCAATGCAGAACAAATTGTCCCCAGACTATTTTAGGACAGAGCACGTACAATAAGGACGAACGATAAGGATGCAAGGGCCTTGGAAGGCCACATCGAAGCTCTTCGAGCGGGACGTGGCCAACGAAAGTGGCCAAGGATGGACCGAGGAGGCAAGGATGCAAGGTCACCCTTTGCAAGGTTGCCCATCCTTACTATGTGGGCTGACTGTCATATGTTTGAACACACCTCCTGTAGAGGGACAGGCCCGACTTCAGGGTAATGGCATGGGCATCTGTCGGCTACACGCAGGGGTGACCCTGGGTAAGAGTGACCTTTGGTGCGTGGCTTTTCGGGGGCCGCGGGGGGACCAACCACAGGCGCACAAGGCGCTACTATCGCATCGCGTGGGGCGATCGGGGGGCCCCAGTGGGCCCGCACCAACCCTGACCTTCCAAGAGGGCGAAAACATAGCACGCGACTCAGAAAACTATCCCAAAGCTATTCCACGTCTTGGTTTTAGGCTGTTTCGCTCAGTTGTTTAGGTTTTTAGGCCTCCAGTGCTAAAACAAAACTCTCTGGAAGGTCAGGGAAAGGTAAAACGACGCGAAGATCGGGACAACATCGGATCGGGATAACTCGAAATCTCTGAGAATCGGCGGGCCTGGAGGAAGTATTGGGCGCCGCGGCCGCTCTCAGAGCGTTCCGGAACGCTCTGAGAGCGCTCCGGCACGCTCTGGAACGATTTATCCCGATCCTAGCCCTGTTTTACCGGCGAAAGGCCACTCCTGCGTCCGATCGAATCTGCCCCTGAGCCGTTTTTTTGGGGGCTCCGGGCAAGTTTACTTGCATGGACGGGGGGGGGGGCTGAGCCTGAAGCAGGCCGAACACAATTCGACGTGCGGAAATCACGCAAGTCGAAAGACACTTGCACGCTCGTGTTCGATCGCAGAGGAGCGATGGGGGGCGGGAGGGGGGGGGGGGGGCACATGCAAGTTAGCTTGCCTGGACATGAAGAAAAACAGGCTCCAATCTGTCCCTCTCCTTGAGGTCCTGGCCGGCCTCCGCAGGCCGGCCGAGCCCCGGCCTGCCCTCTGCACATGCCGGGCCCCCCCTATGAGGCGTCCGGGGCGGCCTCAAGAGCGCCTCGGCCCCGCCCGGGGCGCGGAGCGCCCCCATGGGGCGCCCCGCCGTCGAAGAGAATTCGGACAGGCCCGGTCCAGAGGAGGCCCCCCAGACCTCGGGCGTCTCGAAAAAATCGAGACAAAGCCTCAACCCTTCTATTCCTGACTGCTGTGCATCTGAGGCCTGCCCGCCGCTCAAGATGGACGCGGCAGGCAGGTGAGAGAAAGACAAAGCCTCTCTGGAGGCTCGGGCTGGCACGGCAGACTCAGTAACCAAGGCGAGGGCTGGCCACGGGGGAGAGAAAGGACTGCGGAAAATACGGGAGATCGGCTTTATGGACCAAAGCCTCAACCCTTCTATTCCTGAGTCTCGCCCCTCTCATTCCGCTACGCTGCAATCGGAGAGACATCTAAATGAACTGCTGTGCATCTGAGGCCTGCCCGCCGCTCAAGATGGACGCGGCAGGCAGGTGAGAGAAAGACAGAGCCTCTCTGGAGGCTCGGGCTGGCACGGCAGACTCAGTAACCCGTCACCCCAATCTTCGCAGCAGCGCTGCGCTCCCGGCTCAGCTCCGACACGAACAGGAAGTACGAACTGAGAACGGCAACGAACACGAGCGAGACCAGGCGGATGACCACAGACTCTTGGAAGCCCACAGGGACCTGGATGAAGGAGAGGATCACGAGGGGGGCCTCATGGAGCACCATATGGAAGGCCAAGACGAAGCAGGGATCCCGTCGCGAACCCACGTAACAGCCTGTGGCCACATCCAAGATACCTGAGAGCCCATCTGAAAGATCCCCGTCCTGGTCGCCTCTGGAAGTTCGGACATATAAGTGGTTGAGACCAGTTCCTGGAGGTCGATGAGCATGACTTTCTGAGACATCCAACGACCCCTATTCTGGACGAGATGCGGATCATCCGTTTCCAGGAAGAGCTGGGTGGCGCCACCCGCTCGGAGAGAAGCAAGATCGAGAGCTCCTCTGCATTTTCCCCCCAGGTTGAGAGGAAGCCGCAGCTCCCGGCAGAGGCTGTTGAACCGCTTCCTGAAGGTCTGGCCGCTCATTGGCCAGAGCAACGCTTCAGGAGGCGCGGCGCCGAAGATGCAGTCCAGCATCTCGACGATGTCGGGCGGCTCGACTCGGGCGCTCTGGATCTTGGCCCCAACGCGTGGCCGTCTTCGGGAGTTGGATGGTGAAGGGCGCGTGCGGCCTCTCGAAAAGGATGTCACGCGGCAGTACAAGCTGGGCTCGCTTTGCCAGCAGGAACTCGCTCGGGCGCATGATGCCAGCGAACCCCGCAGCGAGCAGCACCGCGATCCGAGGCCACCCCCACAAGAGGCAGAGGCCGGTCAAGGCCCTCAGGACCACCAGCGGCATAGCAATGTGGTGGTTCCCTGGTTCGAGGGCAACCCACTGGTATCCAAGGTCCCACGCAGCCCCGAGTAGCTTCCTGAGCTCTGGCGCCCGAGAGGCCACGGCGTTCACGGCGTCGGCAAACCTGCTGTAGGGGGCCTCCTCGCGCCACAGATACTGGCCAAACTCAACCAGAACTCCGTTGATGATGCGAGGGCCCCCCATTGTCTGCTCCAGCACGCTCGCCAGACAAGGGTAGCCCGCAATGTCTACTAACCACTGGTCGAATTCAATAAGTAACTTTTCTCTGGAACGGCGGGTAGCCGCACGAATCGGACGCCCTGAAGGTAAAGGAACTGCACGACGATTAGCAAATTCTGGATCATGTTTAGCAAGACGAGATCTTCCAAAATGTAGCATAGCGGGGCTGGGGAGACCTCCAGCCGGCTCGCAAGTAGTTGCCAGCCAGACACGAGAAGAGGGTACCAGTTCTGCTCCAAAATGGTGCACCCACCAGCTTTGCGATCGTGCAGGTGTCAGTGATGCAAGAGCCCTGCACGATGAAATACAGGAGCGAATTCACTCTTCTCCGACTTCACTGGGACGCGAGCCACTCCAGACGCCGTCCAGCGGCCTCCGCACGAGCCCTGCCCAGGCACCCCGCAGAGGGCGGGAGCTGGGGGCAGGCGACGCCCCATCGGCAAGGGCGGTCCGCAGCGCTCGAAGTCCGCTGCTCCCCAGCAGCAGGCAGACGAGCCGCATCCACGCAGCGCAGGTCTTGGCCGTGGGTAGCCGCGTCAGCAGCCAGTCCAGCAGGTCCGCGTGTTCCAGCCAGTCAGGCCTCGGGCGGCATGCTGCGCGGACCGCCTGGTGCCGCGTCGGGTCGTCTGCAACGTTGAGCCGCGAGGGGGCAAAGGAGTAGGAGGGGTAGAGGGACCCGGCGATCTGCAGGGCGCAGGACTTCTCCAGAGGGCGAGTCAACGCCCTGCTCGAGGACCGCCCCTTCGCCTGAGAACACAACGTGACTCTGGAATCAATAAGCGCAGCGAACCTACGATCTCCACCATTACGAATGAGACCCTCCAAGAGATTCACCACGGCATTCGACTCCAGGATGTTAATGTGCCCCGGGGACCTCCAAGCCCATCTCCTGAGCTCTTCCCAAGACCCCGACATCAGCAGCTCGTTGATCACAAGCCGCTCAGAGCTCACCGGGGGCCGCATAGTATCGCCTACCTCTCGACGCCGTCTGATAGCCTCCAAGTACCGAGCTCCCAATGCCACGACGACCCCACGAGTATATGTAGCAGTATATTTGGTAGCCGCTCCCTCGATAATCGCGCGCGTGTGGGCGCGATGGCGCCGCGTGTTAGGACAGCGCGCCGCCATCTCAGTGAACTCGGGAAAGCCTACGGTCATCCAACGGAATTCCTTGCGGTAGACGACGACACCATCGAGGGCAGGGTCATGGTAGGCACAAGAGGCAAACCAGGTCTCGGCGGCTCCAAGCGCCAAGCGGCGAGACCACTCCTGCAGCCAAGCCATCTTAGACAGGCGGGGCTGCTCTAGCCCGCCAGGAGCTTCTACGCGGAGCCCTACCAACATAAGTAGCATACAGCGGAAGGCCAGCAGGTTGCCCAAGCGTGTCTTGGGATCTGACCGATTGAAGCCGATAGGCTGACGGTAGGAGCGGACAGCGGGGTGAGCGGCAGGCGAGAACGTGGTGCACGGGGGCTCCGCAGCAAAGGTAAGGATGCGGCCCTCATACAGCATCCCACTCCATCAGGCGGCACGACGATAGGTCATAGTGTCGAGAGTACGATATGTCAATGACAGGCCCGACAAGGACACCCTGGGACGCGAGGTACCGAGTGAGGACACCAGAGCCGCCAGCGAACTCGATGAAGTCGAAAACCATGGCGATCCCGCGGCGGACGTAGGTGGGGAGATCCGACTCGACGCACTGCGCGCTCTCCATGCTGTGGGGGAGCGCGCCGGCGCTTCGTAGGACTCCACAAGCCCGGCTGTCCAGACGGGAATAGCCACCTCGACGTTCGCCACAGCGCCAAACGGCCGACGACAGCGCGGGCAAGACTCCCAACGTACAGATGGCCCCAAAAGAAGGAGAGGCGTCGGTGGCGTAGATGACGTCACTGAAGGGGACGGTAAGGTCCGTCTCCGCGGCGATAGACAACACAGAGGCCAGGCCAAGCTCGTCCTTGACGGCACGAGGGATAACATGATCGACGGTGCGGTCCTGGGCAACGAAGCTATATACGTGGTTGAAACAGACGAATAGAGGCCGACGGTAAGCGAACACTGCACCCAAGGACCCCACTAGTGTATCCACCAGCGCCACAGGGGCTCGAGGAAGCTGAGCAGCCCGAAGACAGAGCTCCGCCAACGGCAGTCGCCGCTCGACGGGCGCACCCACCGGTACGTACCCTCGATCAACCATTCGTGCTGAGGAGTCGACCTCAATGCCGACGACCACGAAGCGCTCGGCGTCCCTGACCTCCTTGGAGGAGCTGCCTGATAACGAGGAATCTACGTAAGCCAAACGCCCAGCACGATCGAACAGCTCCAAATCCCGACGAGACTCGCCTGGAGGATAAGCGTGACGCCCAATCACAAGATAGTCGTCAATACACAAGCCTTCCACCACATCACCACGGGGGAAGGGGGCACGACCATCTATGAAGTTCTCGGGCGCAAGCAGGCCGTAGCTCCTGAGAAGGTTGAGGTGGCCGCCCTAAGTGACGTCGACGGCCGCGTGGCCCCCCATGGGGTTGGAAGCCAGAGTGCCGCGTGCGAGCCCCGAGGCGCGCGGGCCAGCATCTGATCCCGCAGGCTCCAGAAGAAATCGGTCTCCCAGGTAGGCACGACGACCCAGACGACCTGGACGGCTCTCAGCAGCAGCGGAATGAAGACGTACAGGATCGACACCAAGGGACTTGTGAAGTTGGTCTATACGCAAGGCTGGACCCAGGACGTTAGTGGCGGCGCGCTCAGGTGTGACGTGCTCCTGATAGAACATATCCCGACGATCCGTAGACGAGCCCCGAAGACATTCAGAACCCCGAATAACACTAAGTTCACAGAGCCGAGCGCCAGCAGCGAGGTGAGAGGCGGGCCCCCCCACGATCTTCGCCTCCTGGCCGTTCGGACCCCTCCGGTCGATGATCAACCGGTCGCGCGAGGCGTTCTTCCACACGTTGAACGGGTTACACTGCTCATGGGCCGCCACAGGGCCCTCGGTGAACCCAAGGAGCCCCACCTTGTCCAGCTTCTGGAAGAAGGCCAACTGCTGGGCCCGGGGGGGCTTGCTGGCGCCCCCCCACTGGTACGACGACGGGTCAACCCGGCTAGTACGCAGGACCCCCGGCTCGTCGAAGGCCAGGGACAGCGGAGGCTCCAAGAAATCCCCGATGGACCAGTGAGCGAGAGGACCCTCAAGGACCAGACGTTCAGGACAAAGAGGGGCGTAGGCTCCTGGGACAGGGTGAACTCGACGGGGGCCCTGAAGACCGTAGGGATCAACAGCTCTGAGATGATCTGAAAGCGCACGTGCATAACTGTCGTAAGCATCTGACTGCTCAACGCCCAATTCACCAACACTGTGAGAAGTCAACTCTCCATGCTCCTGAAAGGTACCAATAGCATCGCTAAAAAGATGTGAAGTAGAATCGGCTTTGCGACCGGCGAAGAGTGAGTAGGGGTGAATTCCATCACGACACCAGCTCCAACATATCAAACGCAGACGGTCCAGGCAAGCTTTTTGCACAGAAGACGCAGGTGACCGAAGGAAGGACAGGTCACGGGGCCGAGTCGGCCGCCCCTCATACACGTAGTTCATAGCGCACACGAGGACGAGGAGCAGCTGCTCGACCTTCGCGTCGAGGTCAGCGTGACCCCCCTCCCTGCGAGCCGCCCCTTGCAGCCCATCAACAGGAGGAAGAGGAAGTGGAAAGACTGGCGCGGTGCGCGATGCCCCAGCGAGCTGCCGCTGCTGAAGCTGCGCTGCAGCGCAAACGGAGGCTCCGATGTACGATGAAAAGTTCGTCCTCAGAGCCCGCAAACGACGGAGTAAGGACCCGCTCCACGAAAGCGGTGCGACCACCTCGCCACGTTGCTGATCATGATGGCGGGGGTCGGCGGGACCTGGCCAGAGGAGCCGTCCGTCAGGGGCTCCTCCAGTGTCCCACTCTCGGTCTGGGGAGGCCCTCATGCCGGCGATGCCGGCTTTGGCCTCCTGCGGGGCGGCCGCGGCTTGGCGCCGGCCTCCGCGGCCCCGCCTCCGGGGCCGAGCACCCCGGCGCCTTCGGGCTGCGGGTGCTCGGGGGCCCCGCGGGCTCTGGGCACCGGCGTCCGCCCCTGAGGCCGCTGCAGCTCGCTCCTCCTGGTCTCCAGCAGGTCCAGCTCCCGCAGGTAGGCGAGGTTCACCGTGGACCAGCGTGGGTTCGCCAGCGAGCTGAACTGTCGCGCCCCCACTGCGGACTGCCCGCCCCTCGCGAAGAGCGAGGCGGGAGGGTCGCGCTCGAACTGGTACTGCCACATCATGTCGAGCCTGCCCCCGTCGATCCTGGCCTGGCCCAGACCCATCAGCAGCAGCGCGGCAGAGTCCGCGGCCTCGGCGATCTGATTCATCCACAGGCGGTCCACGATGTCCGCCACCTGCCACGCGATCAGGGCGAGGTCCCGCACCGTGTTGGGACTGCCGGGCGTGAACTCGGACCACCCGCCTGTCCTCTCGAGCCACAGGCGGGGCTCGGGAGGGTCGTAGGCGACGCCTCGGGGCTGGCGCGAGGAGCGGCCCTGCGCGGCCATGGTCTCCATCAGCGACCTGGAGAAGCTGCCGGGCGAGGCTCGCCTCGCCGCGATGAGCGCCTCGCGGTGGGCCGTACCTCGCACGCCGGCCCCGATGTTGCCGCCTCCGAGGCCCATGAGGTCGTCGTTGCCTCCTGCACCGCCTTCCTCGCCGCGCTGGCTGAAGGCTCTGGCAGCTCCCATCAGGGCGGCCGCGAAGCGCTCCATCTCCGTGCCGCCCCCGACCGCGTCGTCCTCGCCCTCCCCGGCGAAGTCCTCCCCTGTCCCAGGGAAAGCCCCTGCGGGCGCGGCCGAAGTCCGTAGACCACGCAGCTCGGGCCCAGGAGGGCCTCCATGACGACCCAGGACGGCCTGCCAGGCAGCTGGCGACTCGAAGCCCGCGGCTCCGCTGCGAGAGGGCGGCCCTGGCGGCGGCGCTGCGCGGGCGAAAGCCGACGGCGCCGGCGGCGCGGCGAGGCCGAAGGCCGTCGGCGGAGAGCGCCCCGCCAGGGCGCCTCCACTCCCCAGCAGCGGAGCGGCAGCCACCTTCCCCGCAGCGGCGCGGGCCAGCGGCCCTCCAGGCGGGGCCGCACGCGGGAGGGCGGGCTGCGGCGGGCGCTGCAGAGGGGGCGGCCTCCCAGGGCGCCGCGGCGGCGGCTCGAGCGGCCCGTCCGACTCCGCGAAGCCGTCCCGCAGCACGCCGGCCACCTCCGCCGCCTCCTCCTCGGCAGGCTGCTCGGAGGCCCTCTCGACGACCACCACGGACTCGGCCTCCTCCTCCCCCGCTGTGAAGAACTCCGCGAAGGCCTCCTCGCCGAACTGCGAGCGGAAGGCGCGCGACGATTCCTCCAGCACCGTGCGCCCGTGCGGCCAATGCCGCGCGCGCGGGGTGAAGTGCCGAAGGACTCGCTGAGCGTGCTGCTCGTCCTCGTAGTAGACGGCCTCTGGTACCAGCTCCGTCAGCACCCCTTCGTCGACATCCACGAGGAGGACCTCGAACGACACGGTGGACAGTGCACTGGCGGGGTTCGCCAGACCTGCGCCTCGGACTCTGGCCCTGACGAAAGGCCCTAGAGCATGATCCTCCTCCTGCTGACTCGCTGCGAGCTCGCTCTCCAGGATACTGCCGCCTGGGACCGCGAGCATGAGACCACCTCGGCGCCGGCGTACCAGAGCAGCTGCAATCGCCACACCGTCTGGAGCGCCCTCCTCCTCGTCCCGAAGCCATATGAGACGGGTGTGGGAGTCGGGCGCATCGCTGATAGCTATCACACCGTCGACGGTCCTGGCCTCCATTACAATTGATATCCAGCGAGCCGCCGACGATTGACAAGACTGCTCGGCGCCTGAGCCTGATCCTCGAGCCTCCTGCGAGCGGCGGCGTGGTCACGCCACCACCAGGCCAGGCCCGCGGCTGCCGTGGAGCAGCCCACGCAGCAGAGCACACAGCTGCCCCCGACCAGGAAGGCGAGCACGAGCCCCCACAACGGCCAGCCCTCAGGGGGGCAGGCGCACGTGAAGGCGGGTTGTGCCCCCACAGGCGGAGCAGGGCTGCTCCCAGGCCGTCCGAGCCCCGACAGCCAGTAGCCTCCGGCGGCGGCCAAGGGGACGAGGACGGCGGGGCCGAGCGCGCTGGCGCCCAGGGCGGTGGCCGCCAGGACCACGTCGACCATGCGCGGGCGCCCTGCGCGAGGCCCCCCCCCTCCTTACGAGAGAAAGGACTGCGGAAAATACGGGAGATCGGCTTTATGGACCAGAGGTTTTTCAAAGTTTTTGGCCTCTCGGGGCCCTCGCCGGGCCTCGGGACCGTCAAAAAACGACTCGGGATGAAAAACCGGTCCCAGGGAAGTGGTCGGGAGGTCGGGGGCCCGCGTCTCGAAAAATCGAGACGTCGGATGTCTGGCCCGGGTGCTTGGGAGTCCCGGAGCGGTGCGGGGACAGACCGTGCGGCGACCTCGAGAGCCCCCAAGACCTCACCGCGCGGTGCATCCACGCACGGTTTCTGAGACCCTGGATGCCCCTGTCGCCCGAGACGGCCTCGGAGAGGGACTCGAGCCCCAAAACCGTGCGGTGACCCCGAGTCCCCACCGACTCACCACACGGTGCGGTCACCACACCGTTTGGGGGCACCCGACATGGTGGTGTCCCCAACTGTGGTCCGGGAAGAATTCATGCGCCTGAAGAGTTCTAGTCAAAATCTACGTGGGGCACAAGCTGTGACCCAGGAGAACGCGAGCTGAAAGCAGTGTGGGGCAACTCCGCCGCGAAAACGGGAGGCCCGAAGCAGGAGCTTCCCCTGACCCCCCCCCCCGCCCTGACAAACTCCGGGCTCTCAGCTGACGCCAGCTGGGAACACCTGGAGGGCTGTCTATGCGCATCCTGAAAATTACAAAGTGAGCGATGATAAGAAACGGGTCTTGCGCGAGACGGCATAGCAACCTTACGTGGTGGCTTACACGGGCCGCCAGCGCGGTGCGCTGGAGTGGGAATGAGGGCGGTTAACCGACCACGGGCGATAATAATACCCGGGGGATAATAAAATTCAGGGGGTCTGGCGGGGATAATCAACGTTTTCCCGGGGAAGGGGGAGTTATGATGACGACGATGATAATGATGATGGTGATCCTGGGCGCTCGGCACAAGACTGCCTCGAGAGATCTCGATGCTCGTGGCTATACAACTTGACAGCTTGATGCTGTTACTAGTCATCATGCGATGATAGCAACTTCGATTCGCAACTTCCCCCGTGGATCAACAACTTCGGCCTCCGCGCCCCTCTCTCCAGTTAAATCCGATTGAACGGGGATTGAAGGGGTGTATGTTTTATTGTCGCCCGCACGGGGTTACGCGCAATCTTATGCGGGCAACTTGCGCGTGAATGTCGGCGAGGTCGAGTGCGGTCGACCCCGTTCCTCTGCGTCGCTCACCAGCCCGGCCCCGCCTTCGCGTGACTCAGCGCCTGCAGCCTGCCGCACACCGCAGCGAGAGCGGCGTGCCCCGCGGGCAGCGACTCCAGCGTGAAGCCGGTGGCGTTCAGCAGCTCGCACGCGCACTCGATGGCATGCTCCTCCGGCAGCGTGTCGGGTCGCTCCACCAGGGTCAGCTCGCACAGCACGGAGCCGATGACCCTGGCCGAGAGCAGCTGGCGCAAGAACAGGTGCCCGATGAAGCGCATGTTGGCGCGCATGCGCTTGCGGCGCTCCTGGCGCTGGCACTCCAGCTGCTCTGGGTCCAGCCTGGCCTGCTCGTCCTCCGAGGGCCCGGGCGCCCGGAGCAGCTCCTCGAACTCGTGCTGGCAGATGCTGAGGACGGAGGACTTGAACGTCATCGGCTTGCCGTCGCCGGAGGATTGGAACTCCGGGAACGCGGACCTCAGCCCAAACACAATGTCGGCGTAGGTTTCGCAGTAGTGCGGCTCCGCCAGGGCCTTCTTGAAGATGAGCTCGATGATGGCCTCCATGGCGTCTGCCGTCCTGACCTCGAGGGCTGGAGGGAAGAAGCAACTGCAGAAAACTGAACCTTCGGAGGCCTGCGCGGCATTGTCCTGGATCGGCACCGAAGAGGTCCCCCCCACTGGCGCGCGGAGCGCGCCCGGGGGTGGCCCAGGAGGCGCCGCCATAGGGAGGCCCGGCACACCGACCCAGGAAGCTGGCGGCGAGGGCCTCCGAAGAGCCACTGCCCGTGCGGCGCTTCCTCCTCCGCATGGCGCTCATCTTCTCGATCACCGCCGCCACGTTCTCGGGGCAGACCTTGTTCAGCAGGGCCTGCACCTCGCGCCGCCGGCGCTCCCCGGCGCTCGGCGCCACCTGGCAGCTCCGCGCGCGCGCGAAGGGCGCGCCGCCGAGCGAGCTGCCCGACGAGAGCTGCCGCTCCCAGCAGGCCCTCGCGGGCTCGCTGCACTGGCGCGCGGGGCTCGCGCCCGGCGCCTCCGCCCGGTGGTCCCTGCCGACGCCCAGGCCGGCCAGCTCCGGCGCCTCCGCCTCCGCCAGGCGGCGGTAGCAGAGGAGCAGCTCGCGGGAGGCCAGGAAGCCGGAGCGGCCGGGGCTGGCCCCCGAGCAGGCCGAGGCGTCGTCCGCCGTGGAGGCGTCGGGGTCGACCTCCGCCCGCGGCGGCCTCTTCTCGCCGCCCTCCTCGGGGCGCGCCCGCGGCTGCTGGCCCCTCTCCGCCAGGAAGCGCGGCACGCCCAGCGTGGCGCCGGGCGCGCCGTCGATGTGCAGCACGCTCAGCGCGGAGTGGTCGCCCCGCGCCGCCTTCGGGCATCGACGGGCCCGGGCCAGTGCAAGCCCGGGTCGGTCGGGGCAGCGCAGGGTCCTGCAAGAGCTCGCAGGACCCCTGCAGGGTCCTGCACTCTATAAATTAGCCCGGGTCGGTGCACCTCTGGCCCTGCAGGATGCTGCAAGATCCCGCGCTCTGGCTGGCCCCCGTGTGCCTTGACCCCCGCCTCTGGTCGGGAGCGGCCAAGAGGGGGGTGTCCAAGAGGGGGGGGTGCAAATCATGACCGGCGGCATGTGCGCGGCCCAGCGGAGGGGCCAGGGACGTAATGAAACAAGAAGAGGCGCCCTGAAATCCGGGGAAATATCATGGCCCCCGCCACGATATCCACCCCCCTAGTCATCACCCCCCTCTTTTCCGCTCCCGCCTCTGGACCCCGACGCCTGCTGCTGCGCCCTGCGCCGGGCCAGCAGCAGCGGCGCGCAGCCCCCGCTCAGGGCGCGCAGCATGCGGTCCTTCGCGGCCTGGCGCTCCAGGCTCGCCGCCGTGGGCCGGTGCGCCAGGGCGTCCTGCTTCGGGGGCGCCCGCTTCTCGGCGGCGCCTCGGGGAACCAGAAGGTGCCAAGACCAGGGCTCGACCAAAACCTTGTTTTCCGTTGTCGTCTTGTGTGAAGGGGCCCTGGGACACACAAATAAATACACACAAATAAAAGAACCCCCCATGTTTTCCTATATTTTCTTGATTTTTGTCTTCCCGCCCAATTCCCATATTTTCCCATATTCTCCCATATTTTCTAGGGAATCGACGATTAATTGTGTCTGTGTGTTTTTTTCCCTCCTGATTGTGTTCGTGATCCGTCGTTTCGCCTCCCATCCGCATTCGCTGCAAGACGAAGTCGAAACGAAAACGTCCCACGAAATCGCGAAAGCACCGTTTCGGTCGACCTCTGACCGACACCGCTACTCCCCAGATCTCTCCTGGGGTGCGTCCTGACCAGGACTTCGAGGCGAATCCAGCGGTGGTGACGAGGGCCGCCTAGGAGGCCCAAAAAGGGGAAAACGAACGGAGGTTAGAGGTATGGGTACCTTCGGTGGCAACTAATGGGAGACTCCCATACCATCTTGTCGGCTCTTGCGAACTGACGCTAGTCGACGCCACATTGAAATTCATCGACGCGAAATCGACGCTGATCGACGCTAACCGACGTGAAGTCGGCGATGTCCCATCCACTCCCGGAGGCTAATCGACGCCAGTTGACGCTGAAGAGAAAACTCAGAGGGCACGCCAGGCTCCCACGACTTGCTACAAATGTTGTGTTGCTCCCGTCGCACTTAAGGACCACATCCCAGCAATAAATGTCGAGCACCTGGCAAAATGTTGAAAGAGTGTCGAAACAGTGTCGGACGAGCGTCTCCCAGGGCCCGACACGTGAAAACCCTCGAGTTTAGGTTTTTTTTACTCTGGCGCTCGAAATCCTTTCTCGCAGTCAAGGCTCAAGTCGGTTGGAACATCATGATACAAATGGGGCCATTCCCCTTTCCTCGGCTACACACAGGAGCGACCCTGGGTAAGAGTGACCCTTGGTGCGCGGCTTGTGGGGGGCCGCGGGGGGTGGGGCCGCACACAAGCGCGCTGGACGCCACTGCCGCCTCGCCGTCGGCGATCGGGGGGGCATATGGCCCACACCAAAGGTCACTCCGGCGAAAGGTCGCTCTTTCGTCTAGTCTTAGGTCGGGCCTGTCCCCCTACAGGGGGATTTTCGACCGAAAACAAGGAGTACCCCCGAAACAATCCAAAATGGCACAAAAAAATGCTCCCAAATTAGTCCCCAGACTATTTTTGGACCATGCTTGGACTATGTTGGGAATATGTTTTATATTCTTCGTCAAAAATCCCCCTGTATATGGGGGACAGGCCCGACTGGAGTCGAGTCTCGTCGAGTTCCTCCCCGGCGTGCCGGGCTTGGCCGCGGGCTCCGTGACGGCGCGCGGCAGCGGGGGCGCGGCGGGCAGCCGCGCCGCGCCGCGGCCCGGCGCGGCGGCGGGCCGCGGCGGCGGGGCGGCCGGCGCGGCGGAGGGCTCCGTGGCCGCCCGCTCGAAGGGGGCCTCGGCCGCCGCGCCCGCGCCGCCGCCCCCGCAGCCGCCGTAGAAGCCGAGGGACGTCCGCTGCCGAGCCCCAGGGCGCGTCGGCGTAAGTCGGGCGCGTCGGGAGGCCCGGCTGCTCGGGGGCGGCCGGGAGGTTGTGAGAGAGGTGCGCCCCGGGCCCATGCAGGGAGGCGCCCCCTGGCGTGCTTCGCCACGCGTCTCGGCGGCGAGGGAGGGGGGGGGGGCAAGTGAGGAGGAGGCGGAGTCCTTCTCGGGAGGCGCCGAGGCTTCTGGGAGCCCTCGCGCCTTCTGACAAGCTCTGCCTGTCTTCGGGGAAGGCTCAGGGGACTTCCCAGAAGGCCGGGGGGGGGGTGACAAACCTTCTGAGAGAGCACTCTCCTTCTCCCTTTCCCCCCCCCCCCTCGCTCGCCGCCGAGTGGTGGAGCCCCCCGGGACCCCTGGGCCTCGCGAGGGGGGCGCTCCGGAGGCTCTGGGGCCCCCCCCGGCCCCGGAATGGGGCCGGCGGCGCTGCTGGCAGCGCCCGAGCTGCGGCTCGTCGAGGCTGCCAGCGCTCGGCGGCCGTCGGCTCAGACACGGGGCCCCGAGGGGAGGGGCCCCAGGGGCAGGGAGCGGATCCCAAGCTGACGCCTCACTGCTCGAGGTGCTCGTGGGGCCCACCGTTTGACGACGGCGTGAGAATACGGTGGGTTGACAGGGCATCAATGATTGCGGGATTCGGAGCACGAGCAAGGAGGCGGTGGAGCACCCCGCGCGCGACACTGACGCCCCGCGCACGGCGTGATCACCCCGGTAGATACATGATGCTTGTCGCTGCAACGGAGAACTGCTGCATGTTGCCTGAATAGCCGCAGGGCGCCATCTCTGAACTGCCGGTACGGGCCCCGACCCCTGTCTCCATCGGCCGTCCCCGCAGACCGCACCACGACCCATTCTCCCCCCCCTCAAGGCCCGCCCCCGCCCTCCGCCCCGCGCTCCCTCCCGGATCCCCGCGGCGGCGCAACTGAATATCTGCCATCGCCTGGGGCATCATGCACATGACGTACTGGTCGTCGTACCAGTACGGCATGTCCGCCTGGTCGAACTGCGCTGGGTCGTAGGTGCTACCCTGGTCGAACTGCGCTGGGTCGTAGGCAGCCTGGCGCGACTGCCTGTCGTGCCGAAGGCGTGCCGCGTATGCTTCTGCTCGTCTCACCGCATCTGCCCTAGCGGGGTCGTGCTGCTCGTCGCACTGCATTCGCGCAGCCGAACAGACCGGACATCCAGCGGCTCGTTTCTGTTCCTTCGCGTGGGCCCCTGGGGGCCCCCCGACCCCCGACCCTTGCCCATGAGGAAAGTCGCCCCCCGCCCCCCCACCGAGTCCAGGATGCAATCGCTCCGACGAGGGCGCCCCGTGCCCCCCCCCCCCACACCAGACAGAAGCCGGTTGGACGAGACACCGATGCCTGCTTGCCTCCACGGCCGGGGACCTCTTGAGAGCGGGTCTCTCTCGAGCCACTGGCAGCCCGGGCACTTCGGCGGCAGCCTCCCGGAGGGGGCCGGCTCGGCCGAGGCCGGAGGAGCGCGGGCGCCGCGTCGCTCCGCGTCGAGCCGCATCGCCGCTGCGTCGGCGATGCGGCGCGATCCTCCGACCCCGTCTGCACGGACCCCATCCGGGAGGCCTGGATTCGGCGAGAGAGGCAGAGGCCGCCGAGCCGCGGGGCCCCTCTGGCCGTTCGCCGCCAATGGAGCAGCGCACGCAGCCGGGGAGCAGTGCCGCGGAGGGGCGAGGGGGAGCCGGGGGCCCAAAAGCGCGGCCTCGCCAGAAAATCTTCAGCCAACGTGGCTGCAGAAGGTCATGCACCTCGTCGTGGGGCCCGGGTTCGCGTGGAGCCCTGGCTCCAGGAGCAGGGAACTCGCCATCGCGCGGACGTCCACTCCCCTGGCATGTTTCGGTGTCTTGCGCGCCCGTTCGTCCTGCCAGATGATCCCGAGGAATCCAGAGGCTGCTCATCGATGGTCGTCGCCGAGAAGCAGTGCACGCGCCCGAGCGATGCAAAGGGAAAGGCGACGCCACTACCACCAGCGCGAGGAGACAGGGGGATCCTCCTGGTGGTTGGTGTGGCTCCCCCTCCCCGAAGCATCCCTTACACCCCGCTCGGGGGGG